GGTCCCAGGTTCTATTCCGGCCAAGGGCACATGCCTGAGTTGTGGGCTCGATCCCCAGTAGGGGGCGTGCAGGAGGCAGCTGATCGATGATTCTCTCCCATCATTGATGTTTCTATCTCTCATTCTCCCTTCCTCTCTGAAATCAATCAATAAATATATATTTTTTAAAAAAAGTCAATGACAAAAACAAAACTAGGCCCTACTAGGCTGGGTAGCTCAGTTGGTTAGAGCATTGTCCAGATATGCCAAGGTTGCGGGTTCAATCCTGGGTCAGGGCACATACAAGAATCAACCAATGAATGCATAAATAAGTGGAACAACAAATTGATGTTTTTCTCTCTCTGTCTTTAAAAAAAAGAAAAATCAGTGAATGCACGAATGGGTGGGACAATAAATCAATGTTTCACTCTCTTCTGCCTTCATCTCTCTCTCTCAAATAAATAAAAATTAAAAAACAACAACAAAGAAAAAGACAAAAAATACAAGATAGAAAACATTTGTTTACTCATCTACTGCCTATTCATCTATTACTCTCTGAAAAATAATAGTAATCCACTTTTCCATAAATCTGGCTTCCAATAATACAAACTTTTTGGGACATGTCTAGGAACTAAAGAACCAAAAGGTCTTTTAATGGTTGAAGTAGCCATCACTGATAAATTGAGTCCCTGAGCCCATAGCTCCAGCATCATCTCTGCTCTGACTAGTGCTAGAGATACAGTCTTTGAGCTGATCTCTTTCTCATTCCACAAAAACCACTCCTTTCACCTCAAAGTATAAAGGGGTAAATTTGGTTGCAGTTTCCTAGTTATAAGTACACTAGAGGCCCGATGCATGAAGATTTGTGCAAAAATGGGCCTTCTTTCCCCTGGCTGCGCACCGCCTTTGCTCTGGCCAGAGCCGCCTTTCCACCTTCCCACGCTGCCCAGAGGCCTGGAGCAGCTGGGGCCATGTGGAATGCCTGCATCATTGCCATGGTGACGATGCAAGCATCCCGCCCCGCCCCCAGCCACTCAGTGCCTGCATATGCAAATTAACCTGCCATCTTTGTTGGGTTAATTTTCATACTCACTCCTGATTGGCTGGTGGGTGTCACAAAGGTATGGTCAATTTGCATCTTACTCCTTTATTAGTATAGATTGTAATCCACACTTTGTGGAGATTCCCTTTAGAGAGCCTATAATTCAGTGTTTCCAAGCTCTGGAGTTATATCTATGAAGGTTCGAATCCCAGATCCTTGATCTGGGGCAAGTTGCTTCGGTTGTCCATGTGTTAGGGTCCTTTTCTATAAGATGGGATTAATAACATGGTTGTCTAGAGGATTGAATGAGATAATACACAAGTTTAGGGCAATACTTGGGATAGAGAAAGACACACACATCCTCACACACATATAGATGCTATCTTAATAAATTAATTTATACACTGTAACATTGCCACTATTGTAGGCTTTGTACTCACCTGGCCTTGTGTTCTCTTTTTCCCCCTTCTCAGCTGGATGCATTATGTGGATGTACTTATTTACCTGATTATTTAATTTCGACATAATTTTTGTTGTTTAAAATCACCCAGAATCACTATACCCCTTTATCCCTTTTAACATTTGGCTGCATCCTTTTCTGGAATATATATTTACATCGTTTCACAAAATTAGGTACTGTCACTTGCTTTTTTTCTTGAACAGACTGTAAATCCCACCATGAAATAGATCATATGGTTTTGCTCACCATGGTATCCCCTGTACCTGGTTTAGCCCATGGATCATAGCAGGCACTCACAAAATTAAAAAAAACAAAAAGCCCAAAGGAAGGAATGACACCATGTTAATAAACACTTATTCACAGAATCATTAATCATAATCACATACCTATATAGGTATGTCACAGTTTCCCCAAGCAAGCTTCTAAACTTATTTCCAATTTGTTTCATATATATATATTTGAAATATTTTAAAAGATATTTTTTAAAAGGAACAAAGAATAACAGCACACATTATTAAACCTAATCATCCAGAATCAAATTTTAAGATTTTGACAGTTTTGCTTCACTTTTTTGGATAAAAGAAATAAAGCATTGCAGATGAAGTTTAAAGTCTGCATTTTTCTTTCCTCAGTTTAATTTCCCTTCTTACATGGCCAATAGCTGTTATGGATTTAGTGTGTACACCTTCAATCCATGCTGATACTTACAAAAAGTATGTGATTCATATGGATTCTGTGGGATTTTGTTTATTTATAAATATGGTATCTTAGTGTATATCTAGTTCTGCAACTTGCTTGTTTGTTTGTTTTGTTAATCCTCACCCGAGGATATTTTTTGTTAATCCTCACCCGAGGATATTTTTTCCATTGCTTTTCAGAGAGTGGAAAGGAGGTAGGGAGGGACCCTCTTCCCCATAGCAGCCACAAGCGACCTCTGAAAATGGTTTGCTATTCACTTGACCCCGAAAACCCCACAAAATCATGCAAATCAAGAGGCTCAAATCTTCGTATTCACTTTAAGAACACTTATGAAACTGCTCAGGCCACCAAGGGTATGCAAATTTGAAAAGCCACTAAGTATCTGAAGGATGTCACTTTACAGAAGCAGTATGTGCTATTCTGTCGTTACAGTGGTGGAACTGGTTAAGTGTGCCCAGGCCAAACAGTGGGGCTGGACACAGGGTCAGTGGCCCAAAAAGAGTGCTGAATTTTTGCTGCATATACTTAAAAATACAGAGAACAATGCTGAACTTAAGGGTTTAGTTGTAGATTCCCTGGTCATTGAGCACACCCAGGTGAACAAAGCTCCCAAGATGCGGTGTAGAACTTACAGAGCTCATGCCACGTTGAGATGATCTTGATTGTTTCTAAACCAGAAACGGAGGTGCACAGAAGAAAAATATCCCAGAAGAAACTGAAGAAACAAAAACTTATGGCCCAGGAATAAATTCAGCATAAAATAAATACTAATAAAAGTAAAAGCAGACAGAATCTAGAGACAGAACCTAGCGAGAGAACATGGCAAAAGATCCTGGACAGAACCTGGCTACAGAACCTGCCGACCAAACCTGGCTGGAGGAGAACCTAGAGAATCTGGCTGGAGAACCTAGCGAGAGAATATGGCTATAGATCCTGGCTATAGATCCTGGCTGGAGATCCTGGATAGAACCAGGCGAGAGAACCCAACCATGCTGGTCAACAGAACGCTGCCTCCGTGTAATTCCTTCTTCACCGACTCCGTCCACACCTTTGGGAACCCCTGGACCTGCTGGGGTTGGACCCCGACAAATATGTGCTTCTCTCCTTCCTGATGCCAACTCCACCAGCTTCAGCCACTCAAGAGCTCCACAGACTCCCTTTGTCTTTGTAAAACATCAGGCCATAGTCTATTAAGCTTAGCAGGATATGGAAGGGGTAGTATTCTTCAGTGTTTAATTACCTACTGATTTTGTGTGTCCTAAACCTTTCAGTTTATGACTGAAATGGTAGAAATACTGTATGACATTGAGAAAGTTGATTAACCTCTCGGTGCCTCAGTTTCCTCATATGTAAAAATGGGAATAGTCATTTCTTTTTAGGGTTGTTTTATGTAATAAATGAGTTTACACTTATAAAAAAAGTAAAAGCAAAAGAAAAAAAAAAAGAAAGGAGAGAGGGAATGGGAGAGAAACATCATTGTGAGAGACACATTGATTGTTTGCCTCCCTCACCTGCCTGATCTGGGTGGGGATTGAACCTGCAACCCAGGTATATGCCCTGTGCCCTTGACTGGGACTCGAACCACGATCCTTCCATGAATGGGCCGATGCTAACTGCTGAGCCACACCAGTCAGGGCTGCAAATTTCTTTTTTCCACTCTGCAATTATTTTGAATTTTATCCACAATCATTTATCCTTTGAAAAGTATCAAGCTATTTCATGTGTCATCATTTGAATACCTTTCATTTTCCTTATTCTCTACTGCTGGACATGTAGGTTCTTGATTTTTTACTATTGCAAGCAATGCTATAAACGGTTACTGTCATTGCAACATTTTATTGTTTTACACATACATCTTAAAAAGTCAATTAAATTATTTTTATTTACAATATTTCATTTGACAAAAAAATCTTTTATGATTACATCTTTGAAGACAGAGCAAGGGCAGGACCTTTAAACACACACAAAGGAAAATTGGCAGCCTGTCTTGTGGCTTGGGACAGGGGTGGAGAACATGTGCTCAGTGTGTGAGTAGAAGATACACTAGATGAGTGCAAAAGGCCCCCCCCCCCCCCCCCCCCTCACTACAGAACATTCCCTACTTGTTCTACTCCAAATACCATGCAGGATGCCTGGGAAAGTACAGGATAAGACTGCAAAATGAAATTGAATTCTGAGCTGCACAGTAATGATCTAATAATCCAAGCTCAAAGGAGAGAGGAAACAGGAGATTGGTGTGAGGAGGTTCCCTGGAAGAGCAAAGGTAGAGGCTGAAAATCTAGATGGGGTTTCCGGACTGGAAAGGTTGCTAAAGTCATTCCTAGAAAATGACCTTCACTACTCAAATGTTAATCATTCGAGATTAACATTTAAACATTTCAGAAGGGTGCATGAAAAAGGAAATTGAGTTGGCTTTTAAAATGATATTAGTCCTCAGCATCTGGGGCCACAGTGTGATATTAGGTTGAGGATTTGGCGTCCAGTGTGACTTCTGTTCCCTGTCCCTGCACATGTTCTAGCACCAACTCCAATGTTCCCAGTGCAAAGACAGCTCAGCGGCTGAGATGTCACTTGCTGGCGAATATCACTACACCATTGTGTACCTCACACAACACTTCTACACAAAATGCAAAAGGCACTGGACGAGACTGAGTTAAACCGATTGTATTTGGGCGTTTATCTCACGCCCTCTTCTGTGGCTTGATACCCTGGCCTGAAAGCTGTGTCTGCGCTCACTTTCGATGGCTGACACCGACTTGATGGCTCCCCGAGGCCTGCTGACTTCCAGTCCGCACCGAGGCTGGGTGAGAGGACAGTGGCCTAGGGACAGCGACCAACTCTCACTGCGCGCCGCGCGGGCGGGGACAGCGCCGGGCCGCAGGTGGCGGCCGGACCAGGAAGCGCGGGCGGGGCAGATCGAGCGTGACGCGCGGTCACGTGACGCCCGTGGAATGCCAACAATGTAGCGAATGTCCCACTTGGGTCTGCGCGTCGGAGCGGAGCCACGAGCACCCGGGAAGATGGAGCCGCCGCCGTCTGCGCCGCCGCCCCGGTCTCCGCGGGGCTACCAGCCGCTGCCGCCACCGGCGCCCGGTCACTCGGCGCGCGAGGCCCCGGGGCCGCGGACGACGGCGCCCCCGCGGCGGTAGACGGTGCCGAGGTGAGGCGGGCGAGCGGGGCCGGGAAGTTCTTCGCTGGGGCCCCGCCCGGAACCGCCGCCGCGTCGTCGTGCTCCTGGTCGCGTCGCGGGCCCGAGTCAGCGGCCGGGAAGTCAGGGCGGGCGGCGCCGCTTTGTTGCGCCGGCCGGTCGGCGAGGGACTGCGTCCGCGCAGGGCCCACCTCCACCGGAGCCCGGGACGCGTCCCTTCCGTGGGCCGCGCCGTCGCAGGTCCCCTCCCCCTCATCCTGGGGCCGCGCCATCTCGTGTCCCCACCCCCTTCCTCAGGGCCAAGCCGGCGCCCCGAACGTTCCGTCCTCACGGCCGCCCGGGCTCCGGGGGTTTCGGGCTGGCCACCGTGACGCGGCCTCTCCCGACTTAGCCCCCGGGACTGGGGAGGGCGGGCTCCGAGGAGCTCACACTCCCCTGCGCTCCCCCTCGAGCCTCGCCTGGAGCGCTAGGAACTGCGTTCCGGTCGGGGACGTGCTCGCTTGCTCTGACCCGACCTGGTCCCAGGTCCCAGCCTCGGGGTGGCGGGCCCCCGGGCCCCGAGCACACTTGCCTGCGCGGGGTAGGGTCCCGGGTCTGCGGCCGCCGCCTTGCGCTCCGAGCCCTCCGGTGACAAGTCCCCTCTTGCTGGGACAATCGTGGAAGTACACGTTGTTTGTGGATCTATTTATGTTGGCAGTTTTAAATAAAACTGGCATTTTCACCCTCATGTGGGACATAAGTGAGAGTGTTCTGAATGTCAGAAGAACCTGGACTTAAAATGATTTAACCTTCACTTGTAAACCACAGTGTCCCTGCCGCAGGTAAAACCCAAGGACCCTGCGGTGCTATTCTCCTGAAATTTTTACTTAGTAGTTGAAGAGCCTTTCAGTAATGGGGAAACTAACTGGTGGCTGATTATCAGGAAATTTGTTCTAAATCTGGCTTCATATTTTTAGTGAAATCTCCGCTTCAATCCCTGCGTGATGGATCATCGTTTCTGAGTGCCAAATCAAGAGACAACGCTGCTTTATCTTTTATGTTTTTTCTTTAGCTGTTGTAAATGGGAAGTAACAAAAATCTTCCAAAATAAGAATGCAGATACTATTTAACAACGACTGTTTTCAGTTATAATTAACAAGACACTATTAGCTTCAGACAATTTGGTCTCATTATCCAGGTACATAGAGTGCTGTTTAATGAGTAAATCAGCATTCCTTTGAAATTAAAGTTGCTGAATATTAATAAACCTACAACAGCCGAGCAATATAAAGTGGTATCTGAGCAGAAGACGTTTTGCAAAATTATTAGTAAATTTCTAGAATCATGGCATTTTAGAACTGGAAAGGGATTCTTTTGGCCTCTCTGTCCACTTTGAAATAGTTGGACACAAATGTAAATTGGAGCTGTACACATTTCTTTCTTTTTCTTAGCAAATCACAAAGGTTGGTGGGAGGGATTTTCCTTTGATGCTTTTACAATAAGATGCCTTGCTATTTTATTTATTTGTTTTTTATATATTTTGTTATTGATTTCAGAGAGAGGAAAGGAGAGGGAGAGATAGAAATATCAATGATGAGAATCATCACTTGGCTGCCTTCTGCACTCCCTACTACTGGGGATCAAGCCCCCCACCGCAACCAACCGGGTATGTGTCCTGACCAGGAATCAAACCTCCTGATTCATAGGTCCAGCCCAACCACTGAATCACACCCCCGGGATATTCCAAATGCTGTGTTGTAAATAGCCAGCCCTGGGCTCCTAAATCCCACTGTGTGTGTGTGGAGATGGGAAAAGAATTGACGCTGATAAATTTGCTGTAAACACACAGGAAGAATTTTGGGAAGTGTTAAATCCAGACCAGCACAGTTTTTGAAAAGCTGCTTTTATATTTTATTTTATTTTATGATTATAATAATATGAAAGTTTTAAACAGTATTTCTTATTGATTGCTTTTAAACTGTGGGCTTGAAATACAGAAGATGATTCTGTGCATTTACTTTGTCGTGACTGTAAATCTGCTGTAACAAAGAGCAAAGTATCCTAATCAACAGAATGAAGGGTTGGCCTTGATAATCCTTACAGTGATGGATTGATTCATAGGTCGATGCTCAACCACTGAGCTGCACTGGCCAGGCTCCATTGATTTTTTTAGACAGAGTGAAATGGAGGGGGAGAGAGAAAAAAACAGATATAAGAGACTGACCCTGCAACCAAGGTATGTGCCCTTGACCCGAATCAAACCTGGAACCCTTCAGTCCCTGGGTGATGCTCTATCCACTGAGCCAAACTGGCTAGGGTGTGACAGGTGATTTAAGTTAATTGTATACTTTTTGTTCATGTGCCAGTATTTGACATTCATTGGAATTTTTCTGGAGGCTAAATGAAGACTCATATTTAGTAGCAGTGGTTTGTATGTAGTGTTAACTAATGGGTACAATATTGTGGTATAGGCATATGCTATAGTCTCTAAAATAGGCATATGCTATAACCTCTGAATTAGCCTCATATTATTCTCACATTGTTTTACATGAGCCTCCTATATAGGCACTGAGCCAGGCTGGCTGGGCCTGAGAATCTTAAGAATTTAAGTTGAGCCGTGGCTTGTGTGGTTCAGTTGGTTGAGCATCGTCCCATGCACCAAAAGGTCACTGTTTTGGTCTTTGGTCAGGGCACATACCCAAGTTTCGGGTTCAATCCCGGGGTTCAATCCCCGATTAGGGTGCATGAGGGAGGCAGTTATCGATGTTTCTCTAACTCCTTCTCCCTCTAAAATCAATAAAAACATATTTAAGAAAAAAAAGAATGTAAGTTGGCTTTTGAATGGTGTGGGCTTCCTTTTGGAGCGTAGGCCTCTGCCTCCAGGCAGTTATCTTGAGCATGAAAAGCTAAGGACCAGCATGTTCCATTACTAATTAACTCATCATACCTCAGGAGTCTCACACTCCAGTGTTTTCATTAAGGGGATTCAGTACCTGCCTCTTCTCCGACATTATCTGCCTGTTCATCTTTCTCTTCTATTTGAGCCTTTTTTACCAGGAGTTCCAGATTCCAAGAATAGCCTCACACTTCCTCTGTCAAATCACATCCCTTTAGCCTTTCCAATTTTGGTGAACACTCCTTTCTCTAGGTTTTCTCCAAATAGGCACATGCACTGGGATTCTTTGGAAAGTTACAGTATTACCTCTGTTCTGACTTCCTATCTGGGGGATACCGAAATTTGGAGGGAAGGAAGTGCACAGGAGGGAGGCGTTTCTGGGTTATGGAGTGGAATATAAGGAGACCCATCCTGTACCCTATATCATATGGATATCGTGTACAAAGGTAATGGAGAATGTGATGGTTTGCTTTTCCCCTAGATTGTAAGTTTAATTTAGAGGTGAGACTTGTTCTGCCTGGATGAGACCTCATAATGTCCAGCAGAGTATTTGATACACATATGGCACTTAAAAACCCAATGTGGCCCTTACCGGTTTGGCTCAGTGGATAGAGCAGCCGTGGGCAAACTACGGCCCACGGGCCGAATCCGGCCCGTTTGAAATGAATAAAACTAAAAAAAAAAAAGACTGTACCCTTTTATGTAATGATGTTTACTTTGAATCTATATTAGTTCACACAAACACTCCATCCGGTCCAGTTTAAGAACCCATTGTGGCCCTCGAGTCAAAAAGTTTGCCCACCCCTGGGATAGAGTGTCGGCCTGCAGACTGAAGGGTCCCAGGTTCAATTCCGGTCAAGGGCATGTACCTTGGTTGCGGGCACATCCCCAATAAGGGGTGTGCAGGAAGCAGCTGATCGATGTTTCTCGCTCATCGATGTTTCTAACTCTCTATCTCTCTCCCTTCCTCTATGTAAAAAATCAATAAAATATATTAAAAAAAAACACCAGTGTGATGACACTGCTCATTGGAGAGTTTTCCTGGATTCCCAGAGGAATGTAATCACTGATTTCCCTAGAGATCCTCATTATGAGGGTTTCTGGGCCTGGATAGCCCTGGGAGGTACATCAGCCTAGTGGCTTATGACTCTTGACAGGCCAGCATCTGGCTGGAGGCCTGGTCTGTCATCCTGATTCAGTTTATCTTTGCTAGGTAATTATAGTAAGGACGTTATAGTAAGGACGTTATTTAAAGAATAAATGGAATTTTAGGTCCAAGAAATTATGTTTTTAAAAATACCAGCGGGTGTCAGTACAGGTCCTGTAATACACAGGTTTGGTTTGTTCCTTGGTTGGTGCTTGATTGTGTTTGGCAACTGGTGTGGGTTCGTGAATCATTAGGAGAAATTAGAATAAAGATTCTTGAACATTTTATAGCATTTTCTAGGATTGGATTGAGAACTGGGATTGGAGTGGGTAGGGCCAAATTAAGGGATGCTTAACATATTGCTCTCACATTGTTTTATATACTAAGCCACCTATATATGAGCCACCTATATATGCTAAGTGTAGGATTTAGTACCTGTCTCAGCTCCAGATATGAAAGTGAAGTGTTTTTGTTCTGTGAGTTCTGTTACCATTTTAAAATTCCAGTGTCATGAAATTTTTGCTAAAGTATACTTGCCCTAGCTCAGCCGTGGGCAAACTACGGCCTAAAACTAAAAAAAAAAAAGACCGTACCCTTTTATGTAATGATGTTTACTTTGAATTTATATTAGTTCACGCAAACACTCCATCCATGCTTTTGTTCCGGCCCTCCGGTCCAGTTTAAGAACCCATTGTGGCCCTCGAGTCAAAAAGTTTGCCCACCCCAGCCCTAGCTGGTTTGGCTCAGTGGATAGAGCATCAGCCTGCGGACTGAAGGGCCCTGGGTTTGATTCCAGTCACGTACTTGGTTGCAGGCTCCCGGGCGAGTGCAAGAGGCAACCAATTGATGTTTCTCTCATATCGATATTTCTCTCTCTTTCCCTCTCTCTAAAATTCAATGGAAAAATACCCTTGGGTGAGGATTAAAGAAAAAATGATGTTGAAAAATAGATAAATAATAAAATAAATTTTAAAGTATACTTAAATTAGTTGATGCCAAAGAAATGTCCAAAGTTTATTTTGCTTAATACCCCTGTATTTTTAAAGTTCACATCAAAGAGGCCTTATGGTCATATTTATAAAATTTGTGATGAAAGAAAATGTCCATGTGTTAACTCTTATTAAAATAATTTAGTAGTGTGTCAGAGTAGCTCATTTCTAGCTACAATCTTAATTTGACTGATGAGTATTGTCATGAAAAACCTTTCAGAAGTTTAATTAGGCCATGAAAGCCACTGTCTTAAAACTAAA